ATGCATTATTATCAAACTCCACAGCCTTTTCTTTTCTCATTCCGATCGAAGCAAGCTTCAAGAACTCGTGCGTTCTAGAAACGTGTTATGAAATGAGCACACAGCAGCATTTAGGATTTACGAGATTGTAAAAAAATGAAATCCCGTGACGCAATTTTTTTTTTTTTTTTGCACAGTTTCCAATTCTTTTTCTTCCGTGCAAGCCGCGACCAGCGCAATACTGGTTCCTATGTCAAGATTCATGGATGCAGCGTTTGTCAAGATTCATGGATGCAGCGTTTATATTCCTAAGACTGAGTGGAGAAGAAAAATATGTAAGCGAGGTGTGTGTGATAGTACATTCATTGTCAACAGCGCGTGGCCGAACCGTTTTGACATGAGCCGGTAACCGTTATTTTTTTCCGGTTCAGTTCCGGTTCGGGTTCATCGCGATAACAATATAACGGTTCGGGTTCAGTTTCAGTTCCGGAAAAAATGCCGGTTCGGTTCCGGTTCGACACCCTGATATATATATATATATATATATATATATGTAGGGTGTCCCAAGTCACCAGACTCGATCTAAAACGGACTGCAAAACTCGACACCTGCACGTAGCAATCTAAAATTTTCATTAAAGGTGTATTTCACAGGTCAGTCTTTTCGTGTAAAATTACAAACAGTTTGCGGAAAAAAGGAATATTTTAAAACGTCTTTCCTGCAACGAAACTTACGAATTAGTTTCTCGTGCTTCTGCCTGGTATCACGGCTCAAGTTAAACTCACGATAGACGTCAAACTTTAAACAAGTTTTGCTATGTATAATGTGATGTAGAAATTTAAGGCGATTTACTTTTATTCGACATGACAACTCAGGCAGTCCAGACGCAGTTTACAACAGTGAAACGTGTGATTCTTGGCCATGTGAATTGTAAATGAATCTAAGAGACTTTCTTTGAACCTCCTCCAACTGGTTTATATACGATTGCGGGTCCCATAATATGTCAGAATATTCTAGTAAAGGACGAATTAAAGTTTTATACGCTGTTAGCTTTGTTCCAGGAGTGCAGTGAATCATAGTCCTCCGCAGTGACCACAGCTTTCTAGGCGCTTTGGCAGCAAGCTGCCCAATGTGAAGGGACTAGCTTAAATTAGAGGTAATTGTGACGCCTAGATACTTGTAATCGTGGATCACTGCCAACGCATTGGAATTTATAGTATAGGGGGGAAAAAGCGGTACCTTCATCTTCAGCGTTAGTGTCATTTGCACACATTTCTTAACGTTCAAGTCCATCTGCCATTTTTGACGCCACAAAGAAATAATTTTAAGGCTGTCATCTAAACATGTTTCATCAGGAACGCAATCCATTTCGGAAAACAATATACAGTCATCTGAAAAAAAAAAGAAAAAAAAAAAAAAAAGAACCCGACATTGAGGGTACGTTATTTTATTCTCAGACTGCTGATAAAAATTGAAAACAGCAATAAACCGAGTACCGATCCCTGGGGCACCCCAGATAGCACGGTAATTCAATGGATTCTTCACTGGCCACAGACACGAACTCTTTTCAATTAGTAAGGTAAGAGTCTAATTATGCCAAGAGGTTGTTATTATCTATTATTTGTTTCTGCTTATTAGCAGTATCTTGGGATGGGAAACTCTGCCGAATGCCTTTGCGAAATCTAAGAAAATAGCATCAACTTGACCATCATCATCGATTACTGCAGTGGGAAGTAGTAGTGTCACGGCTGAGCACCCTTTACGAAACCCGTGTTGTTCATCTATTAGAAACGATGTGGATTCTAGAAAAGTTATGATGTGCTTGAAAATAAAATGTTCAAGAGCCTTACTATACATGTACTGAACAACGATGCAGGTCTATAATTGACAACGCTTCTTTTCTCAACACTCGTATATATAGATACTACTTTGGCTACGTTCCAATCTTGTGGCACCTGACCCGTTCTCAAACTGCAAGAATAATATCATAAAGAAACTTGGAACACTATTCGGCGTACTTTTTAAGGAAAGCGTTACAAATTCCATCCTGTCCACCTGACTTTCTAATGTCTAACAGTAGAAGGCTATCGAAGATCCCTTCCGTAGTGACTGCGAAGTCGCTGCTTCCGTAACTGTCATAAGTAAATGACGGCAAGACAGAGTTATCAAGACTGTACACAGATGAAAAAATTAACCTCTCTAGCGATACACTGTTCAACGACAAGTGTCAGCCCGTTATGAATAATCTCTTTAATTGTTACACTCTCTTTTGTGAAATGCACCCAAACCTTTCTGGGATTTTCTTTGAGGAAGCTGTGCATTTTGATATTGAAGTAATTATATTTGGATATGCGCACCAGGGCACGATCTGAATTTGTATATAATCTTTCTATTCGATTTATTTTTTTGTTTTAGATGTAAAATATCACGCGTCATCCACGGACTGTGTTTCTTTCTTTTAACTGACCTCTCAGGGACGAACATGTCGACACATGTAAAAACTACTTGCTTGAGATAAAAAAAAAAAAAAGCCAAAGTTTATCTACCGACTCCCCGTTCGTCTCGGAAAACACAAGAAATCGATCGAGGGTTACTTCCAAGAAATCGAGTATATCGACATCATTTGCTTGATTGAAATAACGATAACGTTTCTCTTCAGTTCCCATGCACACAGATTGCGGAGTGGAGAGGTCGGAGACAACTAGTTCATGGTCAGATATGCCCTCTGCGATTGAGACATCAAGTACACTTTTGGTAAAAATCTCAGATAAGGAATACAAGATCAAGTAGCGACTCGCCACCACTTGACATGCGCGTGGGACTTTTCACTACCTGACCTAAATTGTAGCTAAAAGCAACATCGACAAGAAGTCTTGAATGTTCACAGATCCCTTTGGGTGTTACGTTTTCCCAGGCTATATCTGGAACATTAAAATCACCAGCCAATATAATACGAGAAAATTGCTTAGTTTTGGTTTGAAGAAACTCGAATAGACTTTGAAGAACGTCGATATTAGCTTGGGGGCATCTGTATATTCCTCCAACAAGCATTGACTGGCGACCAAAGTTTATAGACGCCCAAACCATTTTGCATCCCTGATCATGTGCAATGAACATGCATGAAAGGGTGTACCTCACCAGGAGAGCATCTCCCCCTCCTCTAGAAACTCGATCACGTCGAAATACATAAAAACCGCCAGGGAAAACGTCGCTATCAGGTATTTGGTCGTGCAACCAATTTTCAATTATAATAGAAAAATATCAGGATCGAACATCAAGAGGACACTTTCTAGCTAAAGGACACTTTCTAGCTAAACTTTCTAGCTAAAGTCTAAAGGAGCGACAAAGCCTTCCCCCGGTTTTTGAATGGACTTCGCACTACTACGCTCATCGCTAAGCCTGAGGCGACCGAAGAATAGCCTAAAAAGGCAACCCGCTGGCCACAATTCAGGACACGCAATCTTCTCAAAGTCATCCTCATAAACAGACACGTGGCACGATGCGTAAGTATCGTAAGATGCAGCGGCGTAGACTTTCCATTTTCCCGGGGGGGGGGGGGGGGGGGGGGGGGTTGCGCAATTTTTTTACATCGGCAATTATCAGTACTTTATTTTAGGAGGTACATTTGTGTCCGTCGCTGTGTGGGTTATTTTGTTTACATGGTACTACTAGAAGCTCGTTACGTGGCACGTAAACAGCGTCGTCTCGGTAAGAATCATGGCCCGGGGGAAGGGGGGGGGGGGGGGGCTCTGCCCGCCCCCCTCCCCGGATTTCACCAGGAAGGACGCGAGACCCGATGCCCCTAGGGAGCCTAGATGCCCCCGCGTAGTTCGTACAAGGGAAATCAGAGCTCCCTAGCACACTTGACACAATTTACCCAAGAACATCGCACGAATTATCAGTGTGTAACCGGGATACAAAACTCTACAGAGGTTTCCTTAATTAAATAAACAGTTTTTAATCGTCATAAACGAACATAGCCATTACATAGTGCTATGGTGTTTATATAATAGCGCGTCGTCTGCTCGCATCCTACCCGCTCCTTCAAAGGAGAGTACCCGCGAGGTGGTGCCACCAAAACATCTTGTCGCCGAACGCTCATTCGACAGACTAGTGGCGTCACCTATGCGTAAGGTCGCCAACTATTCGGTGAGATCGAAACCGAACCACCGAACGACTGAGCCGGCTTCTCCGTAGGTACACGGTGCACTCTGAACTGGCCGAACCGTGCCCTGAGTGCGCATCGAGACTGGAGTTTTGTGGCGATTGGTGGCCGAGTGGGCTGGCGCACACCAGCTCGGAGCACTTGGAGCGGAAGTTCGCGCTGCAGAACGCAGGGATCCTGGGGGGATTTGCTGACTCCCCACCCCTGCCCCTTTCGACGCGTATCGCACTGGCTAAATTTCTCATCTACAGTGGGTTACAATGTTGTTTCTGGCAGTCTAACCTCCTGCTTTATAATCAACTAATGACTAATTAATTACTGGAGTTTTGCGTATTTGAAGAACGTGCGCTATTATGTGTCGAACGTGCGCTGTTAAATGTCGAACAACACGGCCCACCCGGCACAACCCGGCACCACTGGGAGCAGCTTTTCAAAAAAATAAACAAACTAAGCCACTGGGGAGGTAGCGGCATTTTTCCCAGTTTCCCGCCCTTCCTCCGCATGAAATGAGTCGGCGCAGCTCACATTCTTCACGCGTAAGACACTGAGCCAGAATGAAATTCGCTTTATCAACTCAGAAACACACCCCGCCGACCTCGCCGTGTCGTCATGGGGGCAAGCCGCTCAATCAGGAGCCACCGGTTTCCCGCCTTTATTGCTAACTTGGGATCGTCTTCCATCTGGCAACATTGGAGTCGAAGGCAGAAGGCGACCAAACCGAACGCTTGTGTTTTTTAACCGGGTAAGATTTCCCTAGTTTTGAAATGTCTGATCCGATTGCTGATTATCGTCCTTGCTGCCGTGTTGTAGACGTACAACGAACTGGGCAGGCTTAATCAGGTTTTGTGGTTAGCGTGTGTTTGCCCGTGAGATGTGTTGCGCGAGTTTTCTGTAACGCCGGGGGTGAGCTTATCTCGCCGCTGGATTAGGTAACAGTCACTTGACCTCCACTGTAATTCTGCAATCTTGGTGAGAGGCAGGAAGTATTAGCGTCTTCCTTTGGAACTGTAGCTAGAGCGTGAAGTGAAGGCAGTTGACTGCTGCTGAGTGGCGGCGATTCGATGTATAAATTAATGACACCTGTGCAAGGGGTCAACGGGCTGAAGTTGTTGACTTGTCTTCTTCGATGCCGTAACATGTTACTTATTTACGCGCATGCATGGAAATGCTGCACTGTTCGTCTTGATGCGAGGCGTTGCTATTTTGGTCAGGGCGCCCGTTTCGATTTGTCTGGCGCTAAAGAAAGCCAGTGTTGCCAGCGTTTGGCCCACTTGGGTAGCTCTGAACGGCAGGGAGGACTGGAGCCCTACACGGGACTTCGCTAGCCTGCTTGCTCGTGCAGCAATCGTGCCTATTTAAATCTGTTCATCTAATGCATTTCTTTTATGGATGGTCACAGATATGAAGTTGGAGGTAGCCATACATGACCAAGTGCTGAATGAGACATTGTATATCGTTTTGCAGGATTTTCCTCCTTTTCTCCAGTCAAGAGTGACGGGACTCCATCGGCGCAAATGCATAAACCTTTCAGCTAAGGCTGGATCCATAGCATAGGAAACCAACTGTCGCGATACAAACAACCTGTGGAACGACAGACTTAACAGGGAGGCCACTGGCGCACAGCTGAAATGCCATCCAGCAAGAAGGGCGACCCCGCGAGTAGTCCCATCAGAGCTCCATCCCCGAGCCAATCGCCGAGCTCACGGAAGGGCTCCAATCGCATCCCAAAACCCGCCACAGCGACGGAGATGCTCAAAGGGCGTGCCAAGATGTCCGCTCCATCCAAAGGAGATGCGAAGCAGGCCCAGCTCAAGATGGCCATTGGCAACAAGGACCTGGAGCCGAGCCCCAAGGCCGGAGGGGGCCGTGCTGCCAAGAGCTGCGAGCCTCGGGTGACTGAACTCAAGAAGATGCTCACTACCGTGGTGGGGAGGGCTTCGACTTCGCCGGCACCGCCAGACGGTGGTGGCACCAGCACCGCTGCCACCTTTGTGATGGAAGGGAACACGAGCGCCGACGACCCTGTGGCATCTGGGGCAGGTCTGGTAGCAGGATCGAAAGGTGTTAACAAGGCTAGAAAATCATTTCCTGTAGCTTCGGAAGCGGCAGACAGAGTGGGTGTCCGGGTTACTAGATCTAGTCCCATCGAAGACCCCAACAAGTTGGGTGTGCATCAGCACCAGAAGAAGCACAAGAAAAGGTTTTTTCGGGGAGGCACCTACGGGCTGTACTTGAGTGCACGACGTAAGAGACGAAGGCACCAGATGACTGCGAGAAAGGCCACGGGAGAGTCGGATGAGAGCGGCGCGGGAGACGATACTCTTTCGGAGGACCCGTCTTCCCTCCAAGGGGACGAAGTGTCCTCAGAACATAGCAGCCTGGCATCATCGCGAATGACAGAAGACACGGCGCGTGAGTTCCCGGACAAAAGTCTCGAGGACCGCTTGTTTGAGGAGGAGAGCCTAGCAGATGGCGGGGTCGCTCCCGCGTCTCCTGGGGAAGGAGCTTCTTTTCCGGACCATGCTGGCAAAGTTCCGTCTGCCAAAAAGACAATTCAGAAGGCGTCTCCTCTCGAGGACAGCAGCGTCCTCAAGAGTGCAGATCCTGGCACTCCTGTTGGGGTTCTTGACGAAGTGCTTGCCATCACGGCCATGGTGGTGAGCGGAAAAGAGAACAGCCATCCTGTACGGAATAGCCAAGGGGCACAAGGAGCCCTGGGTAACATCAGAGTGACAGCAACTTCAGGTGCAACCGGTGAGTATACCTATTCTACAAACTAAATGGGCTTTTTTTTGTTGTAGTTCCAACTGGTATCTCTTGCTACATCTAGCACAGTACTACTGGGGCTGCATGCTCCATTGCACAGTATCTTCTTGTATCTCTGATGCATGTGAAACTAAATATATTAATTGCTAAGTTGAGTATATATCTGGCAGCCAGGGTCATCACGTTTACTTGAGTGTCATGTATCGAAGCAGCAAAAAAATTGTTTGTGTGTTGTATACTGAAACCCTAAATTGGGCATTAGAATTATAGCTGTAGTTACAACGAGCAAATGGTAGGAAATTCTCCGAACACTTATGAAGCATTAACTTTTCCACCTTTTCATACATTTTATAGTTAATGCTGCCATATTCACAGTTACTGAATCGACTTTTAAGAATTTAGAATTCTTAATGCTTGCAGCCGGTGATGTGGTTCGGTTAAAAGCAAGGACTGCAACTAGAAATTGTATTTTGTAGTGTTAGCTGCGCTGGCCGAGGCTGAGCAGTTTCGCGTGGCCCTCATAATGAGCCGTGCTCATTATGCGGAGCGTGTGGCGGAGCTCCGCATAATGAGCACGGCTCATGAGAGCCACGCGAAGCCGCCGCCGTGGCCGCCTCGCCGGTCTGCGCATTCCAGAGGAGTGATGTCATAGCCGCGGCAGACGCACTGGCGCCGCCACGTGCCCAGCTGTGCCCCTCCATTGCGCAGTAGCCAAGAGTGACGCTGCACCGGAGCCGCTCGATAGCTCCTCTCATTTTGTGCGCATAAGCTCACGCTACGCATATCCTCGCATAGCCGAGCTAAGCCACTGCAATATTTTTATGCTTGTTTGTGGTCACGCCTGTTACATCCCCGCTTCATATGGAAGTTGAGTGTTGGACAAGGAGAACCTTTGAGCTAAATTAGCCTGTTGCAATTTTCTATTAGATTATAAAAAAAATGAAAGAAAGCAGCTAATTTTTTTAAAACGGCACTATCGTGGCACTTTTTGTTTTTGCCAGTGTGCAGCCTTGATCAATGCTTCCACTTCAGAATGGATTGGTTTGTTTCACTTACATTGGCATCATCATCATCATCATTTATTTTCCTTGAGGGCCCCAGGGGGCATTATACAAGGGAGTGAACACAATAAAAACATCAACAAAAATAGTTAATAAAAAACACGCTGCAACCTATACTTGTAATTCAGAAAGAAAGAGGTTGACGGCTGCAGCAAACTTGTTAGTGTCAGTCATGTTTACAATGAGGTCAGGTAATGAGTTCCAATCGTCAATAGCAGATGGTAAAGTCAACATTTATGAGAGACAGATGACGAAGTAATTGAGCGCAGTTTACATGAGTGGTCAAAACGAGGGAAAATACGGTAGGGAGGTGATAGTAGAGAATCTTTTAGATGGTTGTTGTGGTAAAAGATTTTGTAAAGAAGAGTGAGACGTGACACCCTTCGACGTAAAGAAAGTAAGTCAAGGTTAGCTGATTTGTGTAATCCTGATATGCTAGTGTATGGGGAGTAGTCAGAGTAAATAAAACGAAGACCTCTGTTTTGAACGGATTCAAGATTGTTAGTTAGATATGATTGCCATGGTGACATATGGATGAAGTAAATTCAAGTTTAGATCTGACCAAGGTCGTATAAGCTAGTAGTTTTACTGAAGCCAGTTGGCATGTGCACGGGTTGGCATGTGACAGAGCACCGCTTATGGGCACTCTGCGTTTGCTAGGAACCCCTACCGATTCCCCAGCGAACAGCGCCGCACGCGGCCACTTTTGAGTCAGTGTAGGGAGAGCAATAGAGCTCTGCCGCGCTCATGCTGCTTCTGCCAATATGGTAGCAGAAGCAGGCATGTCGACCTTGCAATCAGAGCCAGATTAAAAGATTTCAGGCTCTGGGCTAGGGTTGCTCCTGAGGCCATCATGGTGATGATGATGATGACGACAGCGATGATGATGATATGACTGATTAACACAGTACTTTTCGGAAAGCCTAAATAATACATTTGTACCTCCCTAAGTAATGTTATCACTCAAAAAGTGGATAAAATTCTGTGATCTCTTGAAGTATATTACTATGTATAGCTGTACAGAACGCCGCAATCTAATGACTGCCACGACTCACTTTGTAATAAGCGCTCTGGGATAGAATTGCCAAACCTTTTTTAGTGTAGCACAATCATATATCTTTTGCAATTTCGTGTTCTAAAAATGTCGCCCATTTGTTGTTTGTAAAAAAATCTCCTCTGCTTTTTTTTTTTGCGAGTTCATTGGAATGTTTTAATATGTAACTTTTTTCTGGAAGGCCAAAGTCATTTCTTCTGGCTTGTAATGAGCAGGAACATTTTAAACCCATTGTTATAGAAAGACCATTCTCCACGTTGCCCAAAAGTCCTCGCTTCGCTGAAAAGTTTAATGTGGAGGTGGTAAACACATTGAGAAGTAAAACCATGTGTGCAGCTTTCGGCATAAACACCGGCTTGTTTAAAGGCCCACTGATGTTCCTAGAATGGATGTGAAAAAAGGGCCCCATAACAAAGCAACAACAACAACCAAAAAAAACACATGGTTTAGGTTTTCCTTCTGTCTTCAATTAGAAAAAACTTCACTGAGGCCGCCACGTAGATGGCCGCTCTGCCCCCTCCGCCAAGGAGCATCAAAGGTTGCGCTTCAAAAATGTATGTTTGTACGAAATATAACAGTAAGCACGAGCTCGAGTAGGACAGTGGGTGAAGGCATTTACAATGTTTCTCTTTTCTTTGTCTAAAGAAGGATGGAAAATCCCAGAAGGCTGGGAGCTCCTTGGCACCTTCTTTTGCTTAAAACCGTTTTGAAAAGACGCGAAGTAGCATGAGGTGCCGGACACGCCAAATTTATCGGGCCTTTCTGTACACCAGCCAAAGAAGCTTGCCGCTCAAAATGTTGTTTGGTTTCATTTGCAGTGCCATTATCTTTTTCAAGCCTCTCTTTCTTGAATGTCGTGGAAATATTGTCCAAAATATTCTCTTTAATATTATTATAGAAAATATTTTGTTATGTTAAAATTTTCTGATTAAAAAGACTTTTTTTTTCTAACCTAGAGCATGGTGCCCCTCGAGGGTCGGGGCCTTTGGGCTGCAACCCCCTTAGCCCGTACCTTATTGCGGTCCAGCTTGCAATATCCCTCCGGTGTGCCATCGCAGTCGAGCAGCAGCTGCTGAGGTCGCTTCCCGATGAGGTCGCTCCTAGAGTCGGCACTGAGTTAGATCTGCAGGGTGCCTATTAGGGTTTAGCTCATATGTGACGCCTTTTTACCTTTATTCTTTTTGGTAATTGAACATTTTGAGGCTGAGCCAGGCCTTGTGGTGGCCTTTTTTAACTGAGCTAGCTATCTTCACACACTTATTCAGAACTTGTTGCTGCCATGCTTTTTTCTTTTTTTGGGAGTTCTACCGTAATATCCCGAGAGATAGCTTGCCTAAAATCGATAAAAAATTAAGTGAAAATAAGGAGTGGGCTAACTTTCGGTGTTCAATAATGAAAAGTCTTAACGAATGCTACTTTAAGATCATGTGTCCCTGCCAAACTTGTTATCACGGCGGGGCAATAAAGCAGAGATGACTGTACTTCCCAGTCATCAATGTTCGCTTATATCCTGCCACAGCTTACTAGATGTATTTACGCCGAGGTCATCATTGATCCCAACTCTGCGATTACTAGGAGTGGGCTATCTTTCGGTGTGTAAAAGAAAATAGCAAATCAAGCCAACAACAGGGGTGGGTTAACTTTCTGGGGTGGTGCATCTCTCGGGATTTTACTAGTCATATATTTTCGTCACATATATTACTGTCCGAAGTGCATAAATTACAAAGGAGCACTGATTTAAATGTATTGGGTGATGTGTCTGCAACAGTTGTTGGTGGCAATCCGTTTCACATATGAATGGTACGTGAAAGAAGCACAGTCTTCTGCCCAGTTTACTGTGCATTTAATTTTCCTTATTTTTAGAGGATGGTCCTTTCTGGATGACATGTAAAGAGGATCTAGAATATCTCTCTCCAGAGGAATACGAACATGACGATGGTAAATATATTGAAAAAAACTTTACTACTTGCAAACGCCTACCCAGGCATTTGCAAGATTTTAAATTCGCTTCTTTTCTTGTGAACATCATGCTGACTTGTCTTGTTTTCCAGTACATAAAGGTATGTATCTAGATTTCATGATTGCCTCAATGTTTGAATTGGGGATAAATTTTATAATACCTCAGACACTGCCAGCTTCTTTAGAATGTGCTTGGATATAAATTTAGTGACGGGCTTCATTGAAGGGACTAGGAGCATGCTTAAAATGATACCACAGTGGAAGAAGCATTACCACAAAAAAACGTTAAAGTAAACATAATACATGCCCATGTATTAAAGTGACTCTGAGACCCTGAAATTTTTTTTTTTTCTGAGGTATTTGACAGTAAGGAAGGATAACTTAACGATAGTCTGTCTGTGAAAGAAATAAGAGCAAGCTCTCCTTTTGCGAGAGCTGGATGTCATTAGCTTTTATGACTCCTCCTAAAATGTTGCCTGTTTTTGTTTTCTTTTTCTTGTGAGTTTTTTTTCTTTTATAGTTTTACCAAGGTCTTGAGGCCATTGAGGGAGAAAATCAGCCATATTTAAAAATCAACCTTGTGCGCAAAAACACTTCTTGCATATAAATGTTTTTTGCTACCTGAAATTTTTTATACATTTGAGACAGTCTAAGAATGTGTACCCTATTAGTGTATTGCTCAGCATGTAATCAGACATTGAAAGGCCTCTTTTTATGATGGTATGCTTGCACAACTTGCGCAGCTCAAATATGGGAGTGTTTCTGATCTGCATTTTATTTGTGCTGTTAGTCAGTCATTGTATTTCACTGTCCAAGTTTGTGCTTCCCCATACGCACACTCCATCATACTTGAAGCTGCAACGGTAGTTTTCTAGCAGTGTCGGTATAAAGCAAAAGCTTGCTGTCAATATTGTAAAAAGACACGCACCTGGAGAACATTTTTTAAAAAATTATTTACGAGAACTGGATGCAGTTTTTACAGTTTATAGTGCTTGATATCTTTTTTTATAAATCTAATGTTGCTTTTGTTATAGCTTGTTTTTCTATGTTCTGAGTGCTATGCACATGAAAAAAAAAATAGAACACATTCTTGTGCACTCATGGGGCTTGGCAACACACTTAAAAAAGCATAGTAAAATATGCTAATTAGCTCCTTCTAAACGACTAAGTGCAATGAGCATAAAATAATGTGTGCAAAACCTCTTCGATTTTAAAATAATTTATAAGACTATACATTCTAACCAAACCTTGATAGTTGCATTCTTCATATCCTAAAGCATATTCATACCGAATTTGGCAAACCATAATCTTTGTGCTTCTTGATAATTTTGTGCAAGGAACTGTAATTTACATAAACAAGCAGTGGTAGTGGTCTCACGAGTTGCACCAAACGAGCTTCTAGATCATGGAACGAAGGCTGGATTGAAGACCATAGAATGCACTCTGTGCACCTGTCACCCGGCAGTATGATCGAAGCTATCTGCTTGGCTGAACCAATCAACCAGAAACCTTTAACAGCTTTCTGAGGGTAAAAGCGCTAAAAACAACGGACAAGTAAAAGAAACGAGCAACACAGAGTGCTCTGTGTGTTTTGTTTCTTTTACTTGTCCTTTGTTTTTAGCGCTTTTACCCTCAGAAATATGGATCACCAACTAGCCCAAGTGCATACCCTTCTTTAACAGCTGCTTGGTACAACATTAGGAGTTGCTTTATCCTGCCCGAACATGTCTTTGAAACAGGGAGTCGAGCCGGTATTATTCCAGTCTGGTTTAGGTTCAATAGCTTTACATTTTTTCTGGTTTGGTTCCAGTTCTGTGATGAATTCGAAAGAATGGTTCAGTTACCAGTTCCACCAAGCGCGAACCGGTTCGATAAAATATCTGCATAAAAAAAAAAAGGCCGTCAGAAGCTGTGTTGAGGAAACTAGGAAAGCAGGACACATATATGCTCGATTTCGTTTGGTAATCTTGACTTTTCAATGCAAACACTGTTCTACGCAAATTAAGTGGTCATACAAACGCTCAGAGACAGAACCAAAGTGCAGTACTCGCATCATGTGAAGTCAATCGGCCAGCATGCAAAGTGACTTTGTGACAGTAGCACACACCATACTCGCAAAGTACCCAGTTCGCACTCCCAAACGCCTTGCTTAAACGACTGAGATTTAAAAAAAGACTATGAAAAGCAATCTAAAAATAATTAAAAAAAAAAAGATATAAAAAGAAACAGGTGATTGGCTATTGGCACCACGGTGTCGGCCGTGCTCATCGCTGCTTCGCCTCGTGGCGTCTCCGGATTTTATCACCGCTGAACAAACAAGCAGACGGTTGTCGACTTTTTGTTTTTATTTTGATGTTTATGTTTGCTTCCTTTTTTGTTGATGTATAGCAAGAAAAGAAAAACGCACACAAAGAATAGCTCTTTAGCCTTTTGGCATAGTGAGATATACTCCGTTTCACCTTACAATGTTCCACGATGGACACTACAAGCTACCAGCGCCAATCCATAGCTCGTAGCTTGTCACGTGACTTTGCGCTCCTCACGTTGCGCCGCCCGACCGGAAGGGCACATGACACCGTTTGTGCAATGGATTTGCTCAGGTGGCTTGTGGCATTCTTCGCGGTCCATGGTAAGGTGAAGCAAACCATAGAAGCGTATGCCACTGCGCCGACTTGCCGATGCCAAGTCTTGCTGCACATAGACGTGAAATATTTTTGTTTGTTCCATCATTATTGAGCTGTTTCCACGTCGGCACTGTTTGTTCAATCAAAACTGCACCGCTGATGCCACCGTCGCGAAAATTTAATAGACTTTGTGTTGCCACCTACAAGTAGGTGTGGCTTACATTTCGTTATGCCAAACTGTTTTCCAATGAACCGGTAACCACCACATGAGATTATGGTTCTGTTCCAGTTCGGGTTCAATATTAAATGCTTAATTTATGTTATTAATTGGTTCCCATTTTGCTCCGGTTTTCGATAAGAATTCAGTTCAACACCTTGCTTTGAACACTCTACCAGCTGAGGGCTAAGTGGAGATGTTTATCATTAGGAATTTTCATTGCATCATATTGATCAGTGCTAAATCTTCACACTTCTGACGTTGCTTACATACTGTAAAATCCCAAGAGATAGCCCACCTAAAATCGAGAGAAAATTGGGTGAAAATGAGGAGTGTGCTAACTTTTGGTGTGCAGTCAAGAAAAGTTGAAAAAAAAAAAAAAGAAGATATTTTAGGTAATTTGTTTCTGCAAACTTGTTATCGCAGCGAGGGGCAATGAAGCAAAGATGACCGTTCTTCCTACTCAGAAATATTCATTCGCTTATATCCCACCATAGCTAACTGGACGCATTTACACCAAGGACATCATTGATCTGAACAGTATGATTACTAAAAATAAACTATCTTTCGGTGTTTAAAAAAAAAGAAATAGAACTTTGAGCCAAAAATAGGGGTGGGTTGCCTTTCGGGGTTGGGCATCTTTCGGGATTTTATGGTAAGCCTTATTTGGAAGGAATAACAGAGAATATACAGGCAAGCTGGTGTACTTCCAACATCTTAGAAATCTGAGACCAGGGACAAAAAGAGGATGGTCCCTCTTTTTGTCCCTTGTTTTAGGTTTTCGAGATGTTCCTTTGGATCTATGTCCAGAACAAAGAAAAGCAAATTAGATGTTGAGCAATCAGACAGCAAGAAGTTGGTTCTCCTCTAAGTACGGCAACATTGGTTCATGTTGTAGGTAAGCAATTTGCCTGCCATTACAGTACAAGTGCTAGCCTGGAGTCTTTAACTTGTGTCATGCACTAGTAGTATGACTGCAGTTTGGTACAATGCCCATCCAGATTGCAGTCACCGGGGTCGAAATAGAGTCCAAGAATAATCCTTGGGTTATCAATAACCATAGTTCTGGTTGGTGTACTGCAGAAGCTCGAATTAAAAAAAGAGACCGTAAAGAAAAATTTTATTTGCATTGACCTTCACATATGAAACCAGACCAGAAATGTATAATATATATCACAAGAATTCTCTTGTTGCTCTACAAGCTTTTACAGGTAAATTTTTTTAAAAATAAATAATGTGTGGTTAAAAGATATACACTTATGTCTTCTTGTATTTAGGTAACCGTCTGGAACCAATAGATCGATCTGGATGAGCATCATACCAGCGTGCAGTCGTGTATCACTACTGTGTGAGCAAGTTAAAGACCCCAGGTTAGCAGTCGTACTGCATTGGCAAAATTGCTCATCTACAGTGTGAACCAGTGTCGCCCCTACTGGCAGACCAACTTTACGCTGTATAAATCACTAAAACGTCCAATTTGATTTTTTCGGAACCAATAGTTCATGTCTACAGTTGGTGATCAGCCCATCTGTGCTGCTTTGTTTGCAGAGAGAGTGCTGCACCATGCTTCTAGCATCGCATCCAGTGTCAAAAGCCGTCAAAGGATCAAGCGTCGCATCATGGAAGATCACGTGGATGTTGATGAAGTGAGCATGTGCTCATCCACGTCTGCCAGCCCCGAGACGTCGTCTGCCAATGCCATGAAGAAGCCCAGGAAAGGTTAGGCTATATAATTGTCTCTTGTTCTATCTCCGCGGTTGCCATCATTTACAAACTGGATCTTTCCACTTCGAAGCTGATAAATCATCAGAAAAGGTCTGAGAACTGCCACGGAATTAATATTCAATCCTTGGGGATGCATTCAGAGATGCGGCTATGTCCCTCATGCTTTCTTTTATAGGCATGTGAAGTTTAAACAATATTTAGGTTTCAAAGGTCTAAAGCTAGATGAAATAAGGCATAAAAGTCGAAAGGCTGGAAGGAAGTACTTCAGAAGGGGACCCCTGACAGACACAGGAGTAGCTGTTGACGTTTTAATAATAACATAGTCTTTGTGCAAAACGTGGGCTGCTTTCAGAGGATGTTTGGAGGCTCTTTTAGAAGTACCAATCACACCACCTGACCTTAACAACTACCGTTTTGCAAACCTCAGACATTAGACATTGACCTTTTGCTTCTCTGACAGATCAACATATGCAGCTTCTGCGAATTGCAAGTATGGTTTGAACTCAAATTGCTCACTCCTGCTCATATGGTCTTACAGTGTACATGTTACACTCACAGCCCCTTACTAAACTGGATAGTTTTCTTTACTCTTGAGGCATGACGCTGACTAAACTCCATTTAATGTTACGTGCTGCGAGCGAAGAGACCACAAGCACAAGGATGTTCCTTTGGACAGCACTTGCACTTCACAAGCGTGCATGCACGGCAGCTATGATCAAAGCACGGACTTCACAAACAAACTAGCTTTGCCGTCGCTTGCACTTATGATGAAGTGAAGTTTAGACGTGTGCCATAGAGATTGTTTTGATCAAACTGAATATAAATTGAATAGCCACACTATTCGAATAATTTTGAATCAAATAAAGAAATGTCTTCAGAATGCTGAAGCTATAACAAGAAATCTGGCATTCCAAATTAAGTCCTAGAATAAGCTTTTTTCACTTCTTGAGTCTCTCTAATGTTATTAACGTGAAACGTTTATAGACTAGGTTCTCAGGTGAAGTGAAGCCTCAAAAAGCATAACTGTGAATTTCCCTGCTAAATTTAGCTGGAAAAATGACTTCGCATGGCGTCATGTCCCGTGACCTTTACAGAAATTCAGTTTCCCTGTTAGATATAGCGGGTAAATTGACGTCATGCGACCTATATGCAAATCCAGTCAATGAAGGGGAGAGGAGCGGAAAGACTTGGAGGCACAGCTCAAGAAGAAATGCCTGGGGGTTACTAGCTCCATACCAAGAACGCTTCACGTAGCAACTCAATTTCAGGACAATTTGCAATATTTTGTCTATGAATAGTATTGCAATACAAAACAAGAATGTTTTTGCATTTTCTTAAATGAAATATTATATGCACCAATGAATGAACAGGACTAATGCTAAAATCTTTAAAAAAAAAACCTGCATGAATTAATTCTTCCTTTATCCCCTGCCGGTCTATGGAAAAGCGGTATCAGCTATATTGTCGCACGGCACCATCAGGGTGTCTAGCGACCGGGAAACCGGGAATCATCAGGGAAGTTTAATTACCGGGGAAAATCAGGGAATTGTCGGGGACATTGTCAAAAAACGAGCCCAGTCGGGGAAAATGAGCCGGAAATGCCGTCAAGTGCCCTGAGCAAAGACTTGAGGACTTGGGGGCAAAAAAATGGGCAATAAACCCTGCTTAGAGCGGAGCACGGGCTCTGCTCACCCGATGTAGAGTGTGCTGCCTGGTGCAAAGGGAACAGCTGACAAATCCATTTCAAGCCTTGGATTGGATTGAGGGCGCGACACTAGACTAGATCCAGTTAGAGCTACTAGATTTAGTAATAAACGGGAAAGGCCGCAGACCCCAATCCAAGCCTTAAGCCGAAAGTATCCGAAAAGGTTACATCTGGCGGCCATGCTGCCATTCGGTTATTGACGTGTGTGGTTGAGCGTCGTGTTTTCATCATGTTTCTGGAAGTGGCCTCTTCACTGACGATGTCGGCGGCAAGAAAGGGCTCGTTTAATCCGGACTGGACGAACCCGAATATTTTGAAGTATGCAAGTTGGATTAAGCCCGTGCGAAATGATCCTCACAGTGCTCAATGCGTTGCATTTTAATGATCTTATATATTTAACCGCCTCTAAAGTGGACTGGGAATTTCATCTGAAATTGTCAGGGAAAACCTGGAAAAGTCAGGGAATTTCAAAATAATAATTTGCTAAACACCCTGACCATGTCGTTGGGGAAGCGCACGTCATGAAGCTGAAATGGTTCATCAAAACAAGTCTAAAAACATTTTAAAATACTAAGGTTTTTCAAACATTGCCCTTTGTTTTGAATGTCGTAACAGATACGCTGGTGTTTGAATCTGTTGGAAGTTTTTATTTATTCACAGATATCTAAAGCAGGTGCAGTCGGGCTGTTGGAAATCGTGATAACAGGTATAAAAAGTTTAAGGAGGAATTCAAAACTTCCAAGAGCCTTTAGGAATTTTCTGCATGGTCCTGTGTTTTGCTTTTGATAGCTTTATAGTTGGTGAGAGGTTAAAAGTAAAGTAGAAGCTCCTCCCACCTCTTTCCACTTTTGCTGAGCGAACGCTAGAGAGGAGGTGGCCTTCTCTTCAGCGTTTGCTCTGCTAAAGCGGAAAGAGTTATGGAGCTGCCACCTGTCATCGACTATAGCATAGCAGTTCTTCCATATTGAGCCAGAAAGTTTACCTAAGTGACCAGGCATAAGCTGGGGAAGTAAGAAAGTTTGATAAAATAGCCATGATGGTGACAGACATTTCTGCTTCTGTCGCATATTTATTGATTGATGCATTCGATGCAGGGAGCTACAATGGCGGCGTGCCACCGACCCTTCCTTTCTCCCAGGCGGACACAAATATCAACTGCAGCTACATCAAGATGGAAGTGGTGGTAAGGCTCCCAGGCTAGCAGTCCGATCTTGTTTTGTGAATTTGCGTTGGAATCACGTACCCATCGCAGGCTTCGAGTGAGGAGGTGGGGGGGGAAGAAAGTAGAGCACTGACCATTCTTAAGAGTGCTTAAAAGTCCTAATAAAACAAAAGTTGTACAACCCAAAAAATATTAAAAAGAAAAGGCTTAGGCTGCAGCTACACTTCCGCAAAAGTAGAATATGTTCGCAGGTGTCACATAATGTGATGAACTTCACAGCTGAATTGAGTGGGAGAAGGGTGCGTGCTCCGTCGGGGCTGCGACATCTATACGGGATGTCGCATCCGTCTGTGATGTCGCATCTCGTCTGTGGTGTTATGCCCTGTCTGTGACGTTACATCTCGTTTGTACCGTTACATCTTGTTTGTAACATTACATCTCTCTTCAGAATCGCCCCGAGCCAAAAACATGTTCTATGTTAAAAGAGAGGAGACAGACATGGAGAGCTGTAAACGATTGCCACACGTTTTGTGTAAATGGTTTCAGTGCTGTGCCGTGCCTGTGTGCAGTATGACCTCCGCTTCCCTGCGCCCACCAAGTGCTGCTGCCTGGCCAAGCCCCTGGACTCCGTCTCTATGAAGGCCTCGGATCCCCGCACCTACTGCCAGGCCCTCGACTCCGTCCACGGGCGGGTGAGCTACCCTGTCTTCTTTCAGGAGACTGTCTGTCCCTGAGCATGTGACTGACGCCAACAAATGGACTGAAATGGAACGACTTTCGCTACTTCTGACTTCAGACTATTGTCACCTTTGTCCTTCTTAGTAATTTTACTGCAATAGCTACTATAGACCAACTCATGTTTACAAACAAACCGGAGCGCCCCTAGCGGGCGCCACCGGCGCCACACATGCGCAATGGGGTGTGGGCAAGAAGATTGCCGTCGCCCATAAACAAACCATTGGAATGCGATGTCGGTGTCGGTGTGAGTCCTGGTGCTCTCTGTCGCGTTGGAATAGTTGATTCTTTGTGTTCCTGTCAATGTCTGACTACTTTAGTGGCCTCAGCAAAATTAACGAGGCTTTTCTTTTCATGTTTACAGTGTTGTTCCTTTTATATAAACTATCCTTAAATTAACAATATTATAATTTTTAAAGAGGCTTAGATACAAGCTTCCATTTTATATGTTCCTTATGCCTTAACTAATTGTACATAGAAAGCCGGCTCAATTAAAACTTGGCCCGTTATTGTCAAAGGTGCAAGATTCAATGATCTTTTTTTATAAAATAAAATAAAAAGACACACTTCTAGTGAACTTTAACCCTTCTATATAAAGTATTAAAGCAGTAAAAACAGTTATCATTGTTGTGAAAAAAATAATCTAATTGTTGCAAGACCCCAAATTGTGTCACGAGTAAAAACTGCAAATATTGCAAGACCTACCTTCTGCCATTTCAAAGCCCCAAACTCAAGAACAACAAAAAAAAAAAAAAAAATTCCGTAGTTCTAATTTTGAGTTTATTTTCCACCAACATATATTTTTCCCAGAATGTTTTGAGGACCCATCATTTCTTCTTGCAAGATTTGAGATGAAATCACCGAGTAATAGCTATCACTGTCGCTTTTTGTTGGGGATTCATTGCATTGACTTGTCACGGCCTAGCTCATTTGTTAATTGTTATGTATGAAGGGATTGCTTGCATGAACTAAGAAAAAAGATTGCCTGGAAAAAAAGAGAACAGGCCCGTCTTTTGAGCCTGAAAGAGATATAAATTGGTGCGTTTCTAAAAGCAAAAAAAAAAATTGGGTGTGTTACTGTGGAGGATTATTTTATCTCAGGTTGGGCAGCTTGGAGTATTATGGTAGCCATCTGTGTGGGAAGAAATTTGAAACATTGACAGTGCAACTAAGATAGAATATGAGGTCCATCGGACAGGAAATAAACAACGCTTTAGAGAAACGACTGCGGAAATTTATTCACTTTAGATAGTTGTCTCTTGATCTTTGCATTGTTCAATCGATGGGCTGTTTTTTAGATATACAACTTTTCTGACTTTGGAGCATGAAACCTAATGAAAGAGTTTTGAGCTCTGTTAGAAAAGATGCCCATTTTTTTTGGCATAAGTGGCATTCCTGCGATAGAGTGACAAAGTAATTGTTACCTTTCCCAGACCACGGACAGCATATTCTCAACATTTTTCCCGGCGTCTGGCAGGCACTTTTTCTGAAATCTAGCGGGCTAATAGGCAGACATTTTTAGGAGTGCTGAGCTAAAGTACCATGATTAGCCCAAACAGGTACCATATTTGTTCGAGCAATAGCTGCACTTCTTAAAAACAAGGCCCGTGGGTCCGCTTTCCCGCAGAGCCTGGGTATAGGAAATAACCGCAATCGGCAGAAAAATAGCAGCGATTTACAGGACACAGATAACCTCTTTATGCGAAATTCTATCTGCTTAGATTGCATTTCTACGGACAATCATGTTCTCGACCTTGTATTCACTGTGTTTTTTATGCAGAACGGGATGATTGGCTGTATGTGTGCTACGCAGGAAAGTAGACTCAACGGCCTTGCTCATAAGAAGTGCGGCTATTACTCGAGCAAACACTGTACTACACCGAGAGTTGTGCGTGAAAATCTATACCTTTGACAACACCAATGTTGCCTCAGGGCACCGGAGAAGCATGCGCCTCGACGCCTGCTAGACGTCGGGGAATACGTCTGCTGAAACTTGCATAAATATGCCAAGAATATGTTTCATGTGATCCAGACTTTGGGGTGTAATCACACACTTTTTTCTTGATCTTGGTTTTTGCCGACCCTTTGGACGAGTGGCCAATGCTGCGGGGTCATCTCTGTTTCCGAGCAGATAGTTGGCTGCACGCGGGTGCTGTCGGAGCAGTTGCTTGTGCGACCCTCGGTGCGCATCCCGTTTGCTGCCTTGTGCGAGGCACACATGCGTCGGCTGAGGCTCCACCACTGCTGCCCCCAGTGTGGGGTTTTCTGCACCCAGGTGAGGATCCATGCTTTTTGTGCCTTTCTCTCAACTATGTTTACAAGAAATGGAAAGTTGTCGATAAAAATACCCAACACCCCTTGTGGTGGCATATCTTTACATAGATGAGTAAGAGTTTGCAGAAGGAACCAACAAAAGAAAAAGTCGCAGCTGTGAAAAGCAGAGCAGTTTTAGAATAGATGGTGAAGCCTGCCTCTTGTTGTACCCCTGAGACAGTTGTATAGTAATTTGCTGCTGTAAATGGCGTGAAGTTGATCACTGCATTCTTGACAGGCCTTTGAAGGAAGCTTGAGGCATGTGCCAGTGCAACGTGGTAAAGCTTCATGCGCACGTGCTGGTGCGATGCTATGAAGCCAGGTGTCTGGCCTTTCAACATTGCACACACCGTGCCAGATGTGATTGGCACGGTGCGAGAGTCCAGGCGTGGATACACACGGTTGTCATGTTACAGTCATGTGATCTTATCATGATTAGGAGACTCTAGCTCTGTTTTAGATAACAGTAGCCATTATCCAGTGGTTTCGCAAAGTGTCTTCTCGCAAGTCTTTAGTTTCCTGTTTCTGACATTGCGATGATGGCGGCATTATCGTCTGGACATTGGCGTTGTGGCAAACTTCAACCTAATGTGCAAACCTTGCCTTTTCATGATTTCATAATTTCTGGTGGACACGAACTATGAACTTGATGTGAAAGAAAACAAGCGGAACAGCTACCCGATGCAGCATTGGCTGCATCGGGTAGCTGTGTTTCGACTTAACATCGAGGGAGGCAATTCAACAGACTGGAAATGAATATGCATGTCCCTATATGAGTTCCACGGGACTGGCATTTATGATTGTAACAGCCGGAAAAATCTGGGCTATATACTGGAAACATATCAACTAGGTTCCATTGTAGTTCCTATTATTTGTAAGCTGCAAGTATGCTTTGTGACAAAGGAGTTGCAGTCAACACTCAACCATGTGTCTCTTTCATCTTGGTTGTGCATCCTGGCCTTGCTTGCAAGGCAAGTTGCAATCATTGCCCAACTCTTGCATCTCGGTTTTGCATCTTGGCATTGCTTGCAGAGTGAGCTGCAATCAGTGCCCAACTGAGGGCTTCTGCATCTCGGTTGTGCATCCTGACCTTAGTTGCAGGGCGAGTTGCAGTCAGCACTTGACCGAGGGCCTCTTGCATCTCGGTTGTGCATCCTGGCTTTGTTGCTTGCAGGGTGAGTTCCTGCAGTGTGGAGAGGGCCCCCCCCACCTGTTTCACCGCCAGTGCCAGCTGCAGCAGGGAGAGGAGGCCTGCTGCCCCCACTGTGGCCGCAGCAGTGCACTCCGCACTGTGCGCCTAGAGGCCAAGGCAGCGCGCACCCCGGTCTTCTATTTGGGCCAAAAGGTGCCCTCTCCGGTGTAAGGGAGATCTCTCCTCTCTTGTAGAGTGCTACGTGATGACGAGGCTACGCAGAGTTTAAAAGATTTCACGGACAGTTCGCTCGGTGTGCGTAGAACGTGTACGACAGGGTTTTGGGCGGACGTGAGCAAAGGCGTTCTGAGTGCTACGCAGCATTTGGAATGCCTTTGACAAAGGGCAGGGAGCCTGTCAATTTTTTAACACAGACTGTGTTTTAAAAAGGTGTTTTCTACTAGAAAATTGTCTCGAACGAGCATCGTAACGAGCTTTGTGAACGAGTGACGCGCTGGGAGCATAACAGATGTTAAGGTGATACATAAAGTTTATATGTAAAATTTGAGCCCTGGTGGGGCCTGAACCTGAGGCGGTGCGGTGGCAGCTGGGTACCATAGCCACTGAGCTACTAACACAGTTGGTCTAGAAAGGAAAATGGCTTTGTTGGAATGCAAATGTGTTGCGAGAGTGGCAGGCTGTACCGTATTTACTCGCACAATGAACGCACTCGCGTAATGAACGCACCCCCCAAGTCGGCTCTCAAAATTTCGACTTTTTTTTCACTCGCGTAATAAACGCACCCCCAACTAGGATGTCAAAATTTTGACCCCCTCCTTCCACGCGCGCGAAATAAACGCACTTTTTTTTATCCTGGTGCAGCTAGGTCGCGAAAGCATGGGCAGCGTGGGCGAACAAAACGCCTTGCAAAAGACGTTAAAAAAATTCGAAAAGATCCAACGGAAGCAAGAAAAAAAAACATGGAGAGGAGCTTTTTTTTTTTTGCACAGCGCAGTCTGGACTTTGGGTTCGCGCGCCGCCGCGCGCATGAGGCAAGAAAGAGAAGCGGAGAAGCGCTCTAAGCGAACGAAACAGCTTGCGAAAGGCGGCAAAAAGAAAAAAAAAGCCACGGAACTAAGAAAAAACAAAAACAAAAAAAATCTTTTTTTTTTTTTTTGCACAGCGCAGTTTGGTTGCGGTGGGTCGCGCGCCGCGCGCAAGGAGGTAAGAAAGAGGAGCGTAGAAGCCCTTTAAGGAAACGAAACAGCTTGCGAAAGGCGGCAAACAGAAAAAAAAAGACCACGGAACTGAGAAAAAAACAAAAAAAAAAAAGGAGCTTTTTTTTTCTTTTTTTTTCACAGCGCAGTTTGGTTATGGTGTCGTGCTTCGCGCGCCCCGCACAAGGGGATAAGGAAGATAAGCGGAGAGCCCTCTCCTAAGCAAACAAAACAGCTTGCGAAAGGCGGCAAAAAAAAAAAAAAAAAAAATAAAACACCCAAGGAACTAAGAGAAAAAGAAAACAGGAGTTTTTTTTTTTTGCGCAGCTTAGTTTGGTTACGGGGTCGGGCGCCGCGCGCAAAGAGATAAGAAGTTACTTCGATTTTTCAGGATAAAAGGTTCGTTCATTATGGGAGTAAAAACGGACGCAAAAATTTTACTTCGCCTAATGAACGCCCCCCTAACTTTGCATCGATTTTTCGGAAAAAAAAAGTGCGTTCATTCTGCGAGTAAATACGGTAGATAAAAATAATAATAATAAAAAAGTAAAATAATAAATTTAAAAAAAAGATAATAAGAGGTATGAAAATTTTAGCACAAAAGAGACCCTGAGTGTGGTTTGTGTGGGATACGCTCTGTGCTTCGTGGTTTTCTCAGGCCCGTATAATTTACCGATAAGTTGGAGCTGAGCTTGTTTAGTCATGATTAATGTTGAAATTAGCCGAACATTTGTATATATATATAAAGAGGAAGGCAAGGAAACACTGTATAGTATACTACATAGGGCAAACTCAGCAATATACATTAATGAAAACTCAAGAGCATGCTGCTTTAGTGAAAAACAACTCGGCAAGAGGACACCTACCAGTTTATTGGCGAGAGTACCAGTGCAATGCAAAGTTACATAACATAACATCGTTGAAGAAAATGAACAAGCTTGAGCACAAATTACTGGAGGAACTGGCATTGAAGGAAAGGCCGACAACTGTGTTAGTGCCCCGTCCGTTGTGCTTCATTAAAAAGAAAAAGTGTTTTTGCGGAAAACCATTGCTTCGGGAATATGAAGAAGTTCTGCGTCTTAAGAAATTTCAAACTGGAGTGTTGGAGATATAAAGTAGAGGAGGAGAAAGGGGTTCCTTAATAGTGTACAGTTGTTAGTCCAGTGATTTCTTCTTTGTACATATATATTACCGTTCAGCTGGTTCCATTCCTAACCTGCGTAATTTTACAAGAATGTGTTTAGTGCTGGGGTTTCATGAAGAAATGTCTCAAGTGAAGTGCAGTGCAAAAGTGTAATGCATGATTTTTCTGTTGCATTTAGCGGGAAAACTTTAATTGGTGTATAATTATGCGCAGATTCTGTTTTCCTGCTAACTTTAGCAAGAAAATGTTTCTCGCTAAATTTTGGGCTTAAACAAAAGAGAAGAAAACGCTCAGTGCAGATCAAAATACTCAGTGTCTGCCGACTTTATCTGTGGGGGTTAAGATACATTAAATTGTTTTTGGGATAGACTGCATTACAAGTTATGTTTTTGTAATTTTTTCGAACTAATTCAGCTACCTTAGAATTGACGATGAAATTTGGTTACTATTCAGTGACACATTGCTTGGAGGTGCCCGAACGCCCGTGCGATCAAACGTGTAGTACGGGGGTCTTTGTTGTGCCTCGACACAGGCACAAATGTGTTCATTGAAACTGTTTAATTCTTTTTTACCATTTTCTGCGCACTCGTAGTCTACCGAAGTGCGTCGTGCAATCCTTAAAAGTTTTTTCGTGTCTGCAGGCCGCGGGCTCGCATGAGTTGCACCAGGGGCCGGGAAGTTTCTGCTACGCCGGCAGCTGCGAGACCAACTGTAGAGCCACAGGGAGAGCAAGTTCTAGTAGAGGCCACTGGGGCTATGCTTTCTGCAGGTGAGCCCTGTGACCATTTCTACATTGTATGGGGGAAGACATTGACCTTTTGCTCCCAGCAGTTCATCGGTAGAGAACACGAGCAAACTTAAAAAAAGGGTAAAGGAGGGAGGGGACGCAGCAGATTCACATTTTACGGTGCAACATACGGGAACAACTGGTGTGTTACTGGAGCGGATATCGCGCACACAGATTGCGGACAAAAACGCGGGAACCCACCATGAACTCACTTGTCAGACGTGCCAGTACAGCAAATTGCGCAGTTGATGCGATTCCCAACAGGTCATCACGTGACGTCCGATGGGAATTGGAGAATGGGCGATGTTTCAGAATTTTTGCTACAGATATTTAGCCTGAAAAACGGGATGGGCGTTCTCTTGGGACAGGCGTTCTCGCAAAACTTTACGGTAGGTCAATTGCGTAGCTAGCTGCCTATAACTTAGTATATGACTAAAATATGTCTTTCTTATGGGTGCAGTTATGTTTTTTTTGGGTATATTACTAGTACCTATATTCAGATTGTTTGTTTCTTTGGCTTTAGCGATGCTTCTCTTTTTCACGGTGGTTGTTTTCATGTTATAAACTCAAAAGTAGAGGTGTATGAATATATTTAGAACTTTTAATATTTACACTCCTTACATTTAATCAGAATCCACGCTAAATTCACATTTAATAAAAAAAATATTTGTATTAAAAAAAAAAATTGCATTCGTTTTACTGTCAAATTTAAATATTCATGCTTAATCCTCAGTCAAGAGTTTGATATTTTCACGCCTCTACTGAAAGGTAACAGTTGCTCTCAAGGCACCTTAGGTACTGAGGGATCCTCTAGCAACCTCGCCAGAAGTTGTGCGCATGCGTGTAACATGGCATCCAAGGCTGACGGGGTGCTTTGTGGGGGCAGACTCCCTTCCCCTGTGTGCGGGAAAGAAGGAGCTGGAGCTGTTGCTCCGAGGTGTCCGTGCGGAGAAGCCGACCAACATTCGACCCACCAGCAAGACCCTGTTCACTGCCTCCAAGACTGGAGAACTGGAACGAGCTCTGCAGGATATTGGTGAGTGCCGCTTTTTAATGCAAAAGCATTAACTCTCCCATGAAGCAAGCCGACATCATCAGCTTTGAAGCCGCGCCAAACGGTACCTTAAATCCTTTCTCCAAGTGAAGCCAGCTCTCAGCTATGAAACCACACGAGAGGCCTAGCCAAACGGCACCTAGTTTCTTCGATGCCAAAGGAGTGGAGTAAAGCTGATGGATTTTGGCTTCAATCCCATTGGCTGGCGCTTGTCGTAGTTTTAAGAAACGAGGCTACCATTGGCCGCTGCGCATCAGTTTCAACGACCACCACCTTATGGCGCTGCGTGTCCGCGAGGCAGCGGGTCCACCGCTCCATGCCCAAAATCAGCGCGCCGAGGACAGCGCACGCGCTCGACCAAAGGTGTTGGCTCGACCGTCGACGCAAGTACTCTGCAGACGAAAGAAGGGAGCGGAAGAGCGGCGTGCATGCTTTCACATTCACAACTCGTAAGAAGTGCTTAGGTGTACCTGGAGGCTCTTTTTCTTTCTACTGCCGCGCACTTGCACGGAGCATCCGCAAAGGGAGGTGCGTAGCTATTTGAATTGTTTGAATAGTATTGAATTGTACAAAATATCAGCAGCACCTTTGGACAAACTTCAGTTGTGCGAACTATGTTACAGTATTAATGCTTTGCTGCAGGACATATTTCTAGTATTAATTTTTGTCCATTAGACATTACTGACCTGTAATGTACATTTGCAACCAACGTTCTCACCTACTTTTTTGGTCTGTTCCCTCGACATTTATGCGAGCCTACCAAGAAGATCTGTTTTTGAAAAAGGGCTGTATGTACGTAGAAAACTTAGACAAAAGTACCTCGAGTCTAAAATTTTAAGTCGTCTTTTGTATTCTTTGATTGAAGTTTTTTTTTCAAAAGACGGAGAGCAACCATGTTTCTTCTTTTATTTAACCTGTTTCCACCATTCTTTTGAGGGTAATATAAGTAAAATAATAAATGAATGATGTTTTTGTTTAGTTCAAGTTCTTGTTTGTCTAAACTTGTCTTCATTTCTTTCAGATGAAATCCATTTGGGCAGTCACTTTTTCGTTTAGATTCTCCTCACAGTTTTCTTTAATATCTACATTGTTGCCAGCTTACATTGTGAGGAGATGAAATGCCTCGTTGATTGCAGTGCTGTAACAATATCACCTAGGGAAGGGGGAGCAAGCACCCACAAGTTGCCAAAATTGTCTTCTTCACAGTGAGCGGCGTCGACGTCAATGTCGCGCACGAAGACCAGAATGGCGCCACTGCTCTTCACGCTGCTGCCGCTGCTGGGCACCTGGCCATCGTTCATCTCCTAATCCAGGTTCTTGGACTTGAAACTCTTATTTTGCAAGCTATGCGACATCTGTTCAACCTGCCTGGAAGGGCAAAACATTCCTACTACCTCCTTTTTGTTTCTTGGGCTCTTTTAGAGATACCGTAAAATATTGAGCAAGTTCCCATCCAGAATTTGTGGCGAATTTTGAACAACGGGAAGTTGAGTGCTTGTTAGGAACAAAAACGCAAATGCAGAAGGGGCACACGATAAGGTAGGCTTCGCAGCTGTGCATCAGTGCGCGTGCGTCAAGCTTTACTGCTTCGTCGCACCGGTGGGTGCGAGTTAAGCTTCGCCGCTTTGCACCAATGTGTGCACGTCAAGCTTCATTGCCTTGTACCAGCATGCTCTGAGGAGCGTACTGATGTGGCTGATGTGAACAGAAGTCTGGGGTGGACATTTGTCATGTTCTTTGCTTATTTTTTTAATATTTTAAAAGCAGCCAGTGGGTGCTTGTTACGCTGTGGGCACGTGCTTGTTATTTTATGGTTGTTAGCATTTTTAGAAATATACAAGGGATTTTGATCCTATATTTTCGCTTGCATTTGCAAACACGACCAATCTCTTGTGGAAGCTTTGTGTAATATAGCCTTCGTTGGTGAATGTGTGATACGGTCAAACGTCTTTATAACGAAGTCCGCGGGATCGGCGAAATTTTTTGTAGTATGGATAATTTCGTTGTGGTAGCTGAGTGTACAAAATCACTCTTGCGAAACCGAATTCGTGCTGTAGCATATGGATGTATCTGCGCGACATTAGAGGTGTTTTAAGAAACGGTATAGCCCCAAATATAGTATGAGCGACATCAGAAACAAAATTTTGTACGTTAACAGTAGAGTTATCAAAAGGGGGAACAGTGGCCGAGTCTGTTAGCGCACTGCAGCTAGGAGCACGTAGGCAAAAGCCCGTACTGCAAAATCCAGGCATTTTTGGCTCAATTAAGACTTCTTTTCCTTCTTTCTAAATGATTATTGTATTGGCACACATTTGTGTGCTCACCACTGCGTGACGCACATTAAAGACTCCAGGCTAGCGGTCATAGCGCCAGTACTGCCACTGGAAAAGTTTGTTATCTACAGCAGAGACTGCTGGCACTCCTTGCTGCAGACATAATTTTCTGTTGTGCAAACCTCCACAAATACGAACCGCAACGATTGCTAAACCACTGACATCGACCCCCTGATCATGCAGCGAAGGTGTTTGCCAACTGTGCAAGTTTATTCTTTTTTAAATCGGGTGGCGGCTTGCGCCGCCACGTGTCATTTGGAGAAGACTCTCCAAGCAGCTGCGCTGTTCTCGATTGCATGTATAGTCGCTAGATGGCATAGCAGCAGGTGTGACAGCGTACGGCAGCACTGCAGAATCGGCCTTACACGTTGGGATCCAAGATTGGGAATCTTGGATCCCGACGAAGATTGGCACTTCGGTCAAACGAATGCCAAGACAGCATAAAAATGTGCAACTGCCGACAAAAAGCTTTTTGTTATATACATACAATTAAACCCGTTTATATCGAACTCGCAAAAAAAGTCTGCCAGTTCGATATAGTGGGTGATTCGATATGAAAGTTTTAATGAATTTTACTCTCAAAAATCCACTTTCTGCTGATAAATTACACAATGAAAAAGTCTCGCATTTTCTTCTGCTTTTTCTTCGTCGCATCCGCAATAACAATATTTTTTTACGCTATCGACGAACTCCAAAATGCTGAAGCCATCGCCTTCTATATTCGCGCACTAGCACCGAACTGTGCCGAGAGCACGGAGCACGTCCGGGCAGGAACACCTTCTCCTGCAAGTTTGCAGGAGAATGTGATTTTTGCTCTGCAAGTTGGCTTCCCCCTAAGGGATGCGGTTGCGTTGGGGGAAAGCCAAATAGCAGAGCAAGCTGGCTTTTTTTTTTATTTCCGGAAGAATCTTTTTTGCGGATGGAGCAGGGAGAGGGAGCACGGAGCAACCTCTCCCCGCTCCCTCCACAAAAGAAATTTTTTTTTTCTTCCAAACAATCAACGCAACCGCCCCCCCCAAAAAAAAAAAAGGTTAGCATGCTTTGCAAGTTGTTTTTCCCCCAATGCGGCCGTTCGCATTGGAGGAAAGCCAGCTTGCAGAGAAAAACGGCGCTCTTGGCAGGTCGATATATCGGTAGCGGCTGCTATTTTTGATCGATGTAACTATAGTTTTTTCTATAAATGTGCTAACATACATGCAAAATTAAAAAAAAAAAAAAAGATTGCATGGATTGCTTAAATTGCTTGTTAAAAAACAAAATTCAACTTGGAACGAAGTGGTGCGTACTCAATGGCGTGAGCAAAACAAAAATATACACGAGCGTGCATGGTGGCGCCCTCTGTCTCGCTGCTTCCGCCGCCGCGTGGCACGTTCTTGGTTTAGGCATGTTAAGAGGATATCGCACCTCCCGAGCCCTATGCAATTCCAATGGCAACTTTTTAGTATTTTTCCTCGGGAACCACCGAACGGATTGACTTGGGATTGGTTTTATTAGAAAGATAATAAAAAACTGAGTAATATTGTGGCGCTACATTTTTCGATTTGTACGCTTAAAATGTTTTACAGAAACTTAAAGATCACTGAAAAAGCCTTTTTTTCTCGTTCCGTGCTTCATAAACATTTAAAAATAAACCGGGATATTGTGGAGCCTAAATAGAAATTTAGGCTCCACAATATTCAAGACCAGGACTTTTTGAATATATCTCTTACAAGATCTTTTTTCCAGAGATTATCGTTGTAATAAATTTTAACTAAGTTTGTAGCCTATCAAAACGTCAAAAACTTCAGCTGTCACGTGGCGCCATCTATGAGTGAGTCCGCGAAACTTGCTCTTGAAATTGCGCAATGTGTTATTGCGCCCAGGACTACTTGCATCTTCAAGGTCGTTGGGTTGACAGGCGGGATTTTGAGGAACAGTGCCTTTCAAAACAAATTTTTTTTTCTTCTTTTTTTTTTTTTTTCTTTTTTCTTTTTTGTTTGGGGGGCGAAGATATTTTGCGGGTTATTGCGATAGTGAGTAATAGGTTGTTCATCGCCCGAGCGCGTCCTTGGGAGGATGTTCCGTTCTTTGTTGGTGTTTTGGGGTCGCACAAATGCAAGTAAAAAGTTTCTTGTTCTTTTTTTCATTTTTTTTTGTTTGGCGGCGGAGATATTTAGCGGGTGGGTGAGAGTCATTAGTTTTCAATCGCCAAAGCGCATTATTGGGAGGATGTTCCATACTTTGTTGGCATTTTGGATCAAGAAATTGGGAGTGAAAGATTTCACGCTTCAAGCGGTCCTTGCATGAGGACTGAAGTTAGCAAATGCAGGCAGACAAAAGCTACTGAAGCTACTCGTACCACTTCTTTCTGTTCGAAATAGGATAGGTGATTTGATCTGGCGATTTCAAATATTCTGCAGAGATGCATTTAAAATGTTTACTTATTTTAAATGTGGAAGAGGCATACGTGAGTTCGTCGACATTCGCTCTGCATGTCAGCTTGTGGAGGCGGATTTCTACCCAAATAAAACAAACATTGCGAAAAAAATTCAGTGAAGCTAGAAACAGAACAAGCATTTTGGAAGTAGGCGTGACACGTTGCAATTTGGAAGTTGTGAAAGTCGCGCTGAAGATTCTTTGTAGGACTCACACTCTTGATTCAGTATTTTATAAAATAGAGGCAAATGTATTAGACTAGAACCCGCAAGCCTTTTATTATGGTGTTCGTCGGTTGCACTGTCTTGGCTGCGATGAGCCCTTGGACGGCTGTTACTATTGAGCGGCGGACAAAAAATCTCACCGGAGAACGGGCGGCGGAGAAAAGCTCACCGGAGAGAAGCTCACCAGTGAAATGCTCACTGCAAAATCGACAAATACAAAGAAAAGCTCATTTACGAAATATTTTATTACTGTTCGCACTGCGGTGCTTATATTTAAAATTCACGTCCGCACTTTGCTTAGCGCTCGCGCGCCTTTTTGCGTGTTCGTATATTTGTAAAACCAACTGTTCTAGTTCAGCCCCAGAAGAACAGCTTACTTTCTAAGAAAAATAGGGAAGAGGCAGACGAATCTACAGTTTTGCAGAACGCGAACACATGAAAAAGTGGGGAACGCTTTTTTTTTATAACTTTTACATGGAGACAGGGCATTGCCTCAAAGTTGTGTACTACGAAAAGCAACAATGTGACCCCCGTCTCGCACCCGACGACTCTTGGCCCCCAAAAAGTATCAAGTTCGTCTTAGGCCTCATAACCGGTTCCCGGACATTTCATCGAACGCCGTTTCGTCGAACGCCGTTTCATTGAAAAAAATGACGTTTCATCGAACGCCGTTTCATCGATCGCCGTTTCATCGAATCGCTGACGGCCATTTCATTGATTATCGTTTATATAAAAAGTGTGAAAGATGGTCTTTCATGCACGGATCGTGTGCATTTTCGTGTCAATACAGAGTTCATCGTCAGGTTTTTTAATGTCCAAACTTGTAGCTGTTACAATTTATTTTTATGCAAGTAACCCATGAGTATATTTGTACCGATTTTTATGTTTGTTTCGCATATTGTGCTTATCTGTTCACCCCCTCTGTATTACCCGATGGTCCTTGAGGGTATTGTAACAAATAAATAAAAAGTCGCACTCCCGGTAAGAGCGCACTCCAACTCATGGAGGCCAGAAGGTGATTTAGGTTTTGCGCAGGCACAACAACTTTAGCCATGTGAGCCGCCTAGCCTTTCATGTATTTCTATTGATACTGCCCGAAGCTTGCAGTAGCTAAAGCTGAGGTGCTATTTATGAAACTACAACGAAATATATATTTTTTTTTTTTTTTAGTTTTAAGACTCAATGAAGTCGAAAGTAAGTACGTCTCTTCAAATTGTATTTGAAAACTTTCGGGGGTTCATGTGTTCGTGCGACAGCCCTTCACTGTTTCAAATGATGAGTAATTGCTCTCAAAAAGTCCCCCACAGCCATCGGTTCTCATAAAAAAGGTGGACCTTCTCA